CAATTCAAGAACATGGGCTCGTTTCTTTCATACTAATTTTTTTTTTCCTTTTTTACAATTTTAGCATGTTTATTTGACCTTAGCTTGTATCAATGGACCGGAGGATTAAATATTCCATAATCCCAATTACGTCCAAGTGCGGAGCATCGATTTTATTTTGAAGCATCAATAATACTTTAAGCAGCATTTGTAATTTTGTCGGTTGAATAAAATTTTAAAGCAAAAATTTGCAGACCGATGAAAAATACTGCCAATCAGGATACCTGTACAATCTTTGTACCAAATAATTAACTTATAGTAGTGTCACCCCAATGCATGAGATGAGAACTAGTATATGTTACGCCCATACTTCACGGAGGGTCAATACAAATTAATCCATATATATATATATATATATATATATAGAGCAAATCTAGATGATATCACACCATCTCAATCAGAAATTGAATTTCAAATTTTGTATATTTAATACGTATTTAAATTCATTAATACATACGTTATTAATGTAAAAAAGATTAATTTATTATACATAGGTGTGCTCAAAATATATTTGAAACACAGTAATGCATCTTTGAGGGGAAAAAAATACATCATTGAGAATTTATCACCAATTTTGTCAAAAATAAAAATAAATAAACAAATATCACCACACCCTAACATGACATGACTCTGGCAATGATTTTGAGGGGAACAATCATCTGTTCGCTTGGGTAATCATTTGCATTTTAAAGTCACATAATATAATATTGTTACTGTACTTAATTTCGATACCTCAACCTAATAAACAATTGATTCGAAATTTGGAAGGACAATAAATCACATGCAAAATTTTCTAATATGGCTGCCAAATGAGCAAACTCCCGTTCTTGGATACCATTGACTTCTTGGGGCCAAGCCCGGGAAACCCCTGGTTGCAGATTTCTCTACGGGAACTGCATTAACTTCTTTACAAGATGCCTATGATTTTAAAACACGTTCTCATCGAATTATTGACCGAGAGATAATTTGGTGGGCGATTCCCACATAAGTGTAAATTATGATATATGGGTTTTAACATTGAAATGTTCAAACTCTATTCTTGCCCTCTGTTTTGCCTTCTCCCAAGAGGTAGAGCTGCTCCTGTCCATTTGTTTAAGAGGTGCATTTTGGATTGGAAAGGTGTAGAAGATAAGGATGAAGCTTGATATACATCCTTGATGACTAAAAACCTGATTACATCTTAGAGAGTAGACACTAGACAGGACTTCAGCAGGAACTGCTAGAGATGTCATTCTTTTTGTCCCATCTTCAGGAAAATGACAAACACTTTAAAAACCCAAAAAAAGAAAAGAAAAAAAAAACCTTTCCGACTTGGAAATGTTGTCCATTTCCTGTTTTGAGTTTTAACACTCAGACAAGGAATCTTTACTTATCTACAAATGTTTTCTTTACAACCTGCTTTCAGCCGAAAAGTAGTTGTGTTTTTTGGTGCCGGCCGGTTGTAGAATGTAGAATATAGATGAACCTAGCAAAACTAGCTGCCATAGATATAGGCAAAATTGAAAACCTTTCAAGCTTCTTCTGGGAAATTTACCAAGCGCATGACGATGATCCATATGGCCTGCAATATTAAATTAACAATGTAAAAGGGCAACAAATTAAGGCTAGTAGTTGAGTATCATTGACCATACATCACTTGTATGCGTCTCAAGCCAAGTTTGAAACAAGCAGATAATTCCAGTTCATATTGGCTTGCCGGCCATTTAATTTTCTTCTAGTAATTTAATTCTAAGATGCTAAAATTGGAAAGGGTTGGTTATTGCTTGATAGTCATGTACTATTTACTATTTACTGTGGCTTGCTATACTTCTGCAGCAGGCAATTTTCAGATGGACTATTTTGCTGAAAGCGTTCTTACTGTTTCACATTTTGATTCCTTTAGATGATGCGGGCGGATCCCAAGAATCTTTACCCTCTCAGTGCATACTTCAATCTAAACAATGTCCGCTAAACCATGTCCTAAACAAGGTACTCCTCAAGGCAAGAAACGTCGGCCCCATATCTGATCACGTGGCAACTTTACATGCATGGAGTCCAATTTTTGGCAGAAAATTTCTACAAGTGAATTCTGATACTGCCCTTCAAAAGCACTGCTGCTTGTCTTTTTCTTTTCCTTTTAATTTTTGGTTTTTTTTTTTTCCGGAGAGGGGGGTTTGGTGTGGGGATTTTATCAATAGCTGATCATTGACGAAAATTTCTGGTAACTAATAAGAACGGACAGCTCAAGTTAAAAGAAGGATGAACAAAATGAGGCCATGTACTTAATTATGGACCCCTATTGATGCTGCAAGTCTTCCTTCACGGACCAATAAAAACCGAAACTTCCATAGAATCAACCCACAAGTTCACCACAGACATGTCGATTGACAAAGAAAGTGCCAAAATTTTCTGCCATGATCATGAGTCCAGAACGTATGTAGCACTCAACGAATACTTTGAATTGATCAACAATTTTAACTCTACCGGACTACCACCACGGCACCCTATGGTCTGAACCCAATTACAATCTCGCCCACAATTTGACAAAATACTTTGTACGACTCCAGCATGCAATAACTAAGCAAGAAAGTCTATGAAGTGCCCCATCCTTCCAGAACCCAGAAAGCACGTAAATGTCTATACAAAGAATCATGCACAGCCATGTGCTAATAACCAAGCGTTGGGAAGACTTCAAGTATTGGATGGATCGTGATCCACGCTTGGTCGGTTTTATGTAAACGAAGAAGAAAAAGAAAGATGGTAGTAATTAATGGCATAGATAAGATCACACTAATCAAACCCCATGTCGATAATAAATGTAAGTATATCTATGTTTGGGAAAGTTTGATTATTAATTGGCAGAGTTAATAATTGTTACTCTGTCGCATTCGAAGATGCATTAGGTGACATCAAATCGATACTGATTTCTCGCTGAAGCATTGGGAACTTTTTTGTCTTTATATATGTTGAAAATGAAGTTCCAACGATAGGGTTCTGTGGATTAAATTAGTGCACATTAGTCAAAATGATTGAATTCTTAAAATATATATTTATTTATTTATACATACGTACATGTACATTTATATATAACACAGGTTTCATTAGGGGTAGTTAGTTGGTGACAACAACAGTAGTAGTAGACTCAGAGAAATTTCGATGTGAATCAGACTGTGATGAGAATAATGATTAATTTGTGGCAAAGTTTGACTTTTTAGAGGACATGAGACAAGAGACAAGACCTGAACGTGCAACTCATATGTATGAAGATTATTCATTCCAAGTTTATGCAATCATGATATATGTGTTCGAGGGTAGGCAAGGATAGAGTAAGATTTGCGTTCCTGAAGCTGAGTTCCTACAAACCTATACTATGATTAGCTGTAGAGGGAAATGATTATTGTCCAATTATGTAGGATCGGTTTCAGATTTGTGGTGGGGATCTTCTAGAGACAAATCAATTATTGTGAAATATAAAGATGATATGACTATCAAGGAAAATAGAGTGAGGAGTTGAAGACATATGGGGTCTCCATTCTAGAAACATATATGTACCTTGCCTGGTCATCCACGTTGCATCTTCATTACATATCAATCTTCATTTGTGGCCACCTGTAAAGTCCTCAAGAAAACAAAAATCTTCTAAAAGATGAAGGAAGAAAAGGTCCAATTCAGCTAAAATCATAATCTGAAGTTGGGGAAAACAACGTCTAGGCGTACACATTGTGGACTAAAACTGGATATAAGTTCAGCAGATATCAAAATTCATGGGACACAAGGACTTTTCTTTCCCCCCTGCTTGGGTTTAGGGGCGAGTTCATCCTACAATTTAGTGGCGCAAAGGCAGGATTACCATGTTTTATTTGTGAGTATGAATAATCAAGCTAACATATTCTTTTTTTTTTTTTTTGAGTCACAACGGACAAGGAATAATAAACCACCCCGTGTTCAACTGATTCTTATGCAGTTAAATTATTCAGACAGGAGTCGACAGGGTGGGCAAGGCGGTCTGGGTTAATTTCTACTATACATTTTCGAGATGGAATAGATGTGGTCTGAATTGAACTAGATATCCAAAGGCATCCATCCACATTTTATAATTGAGAGAAAAGCTTAAACTAAATTGAACGGGTCATCATACCCAAGTTCCTCGAAATTCATCTGGATCACACTTTGTCGTCCACAATCCGAGATTCATCAATGCTTTCGGCGGTGCAGCTGCGCAAGTGTAACAACATCAAAAGATGGCCTTCTATTAGTTGGATTGCTAGCTAATTCGTTCAAGTACCTTTGATCCAATCAGCAAATGCTGAGTCAGAGCTCCTGATGCTTACATTGAATGTTAGGTAAACTAAAGCAAATACATGCGCGTAAGAAAAATTACTCCTACGACTTAGGAAGTCATTAGTATGATCCCCTCAAAATATTTGTGCAGTATACGGGGTTTAGGTTGGTCCTCTCAGTCTCTCTGACACTCAAATGGGCCAATTAAAAGAAATCATCCCTTCTGTTCCTATTCAACAGCTAAGCCCAGCCCTGGATGGGTTCCGCTCTGAGCAAGAGATTGAAAGTTCAAGTCTCCCTTTTGAGATATTTATAGCTACACTTGTTGCCAGTGTCAGTCCGCAGCAAAAACATTCATGCATAGGTGTCATTAGGCTCCAGCGCATTTGATGCGAAATAACAACAGATAAATAAACAAGATAGGATCTCGCTAGTGTAGTTTAGTGCAGGAGAAAGACACGAATGAGCTTAGATTCTACTACTTTCAGAATCCCAAAAACAAACGATTGCAGAGTCTGATGTTGCACCATTACTTCCACGAAATCATCTTCCAGTTAAAAAGCATCAGAGTCATCTGCAGATGTCACCTCTGAACCTGAATCCTCTTGACTGTCATCATCCTCTGCCTCCTCCTCGTTAATGCTTGAAGTGTTGTTGGTTGTCATCCTGGTCATAGCAGCTGTCTTGCTGGCCCTCTGTGAGCGAGCTCTCATGTTGCTCGAATCTGCAGGAACGACAGAAGTTGGCGACAATTCACCATCGGAGGAAGATTCTTCTTCAGCTTTTGGTCGTCTCCGTGCACGGGCTGTTCTAATTGATCGAGGTGCTGGAGTGGGTGGAAGTTCCACTGACTCAACTTCATCGAGGTTCACTTCTAGCTCCAATCTCCCTGGAGTTGTTAAAGTTAATAAGATTGATAAGACTTCCATAGATTTCATAGATGTCCAAGAGAATACAGAAAAAAAAAAAAAATGGAAAACTAGCAGCCTGCTTATTATGCACCCTGACACCGTGGCCTCCCATTTCATAGCAATGAATTTGAACGAGTTATGTTCATATCGTAAAGTTAATCGACCCATCTATTCAAGACAATCAATGGGGGCATGGTAATTCTTTAGGTCGCAAGAAATGACGTCTAAAGAAGTGATACCATGATAATGGCTATGGAACATAGGGTCCCTAAAGGTTTCACAGGTGTTACCAGATGAGTTAAGCTACCTAGAGAAACCTTCGGATTTTCTCATATGTGATGTCCTATTTGTTCTGCCCAGTAAACATTGGACGAGAAGAACTCAAGTTTCATTCTACGAGCACAAGTTATCGTTCGTATACGAGTGGCAATACACAGATACTTTCCACATTCTTTCAAGCATGAAAAGAAATCTAACAATGTAATTTTCTGACAATAAAATTCAGATAAAAATGCATAGATCATAGAAGTGCGGAAAAGAAAGCAAAAGTAGAAAATGATTCAAGCATTTCTTTAGATCCAGTACACAAGTCATTATGAGATGAAACACAAAAAAGAAGTCGTGTTTCTGGAGATTAATTAACACATGAACTGCATCTGAACAGGAAGCATACAAGGATCAGAGACCTGGATTCCTATGTGCTAGGACTCAGCTGAGAGGTGTTAATAACAACCACTAGACTCGCTTGTAGTCACAAGGAAGAATAAAGTATCCAAAATGCATTTCTAGTCCACTGGAGAAGGAAAAATATCCCCCATGGGATGGGGCATTTGTAGTCACTCCCTAAACTGCTGTCTATTTTTCCAATTTGTCCTATGAACAGAAGCATGTTATAACTGATGAAGTTTTCTAAACTAGTCCGAATATTGCAGGATTTCACCTGCTAAACGCAGATTCCTTCATTAAATGGGAGAAAAGGATAAATTTATTACCGAATATGTGATTAGCCTGATCAGAAGATAATTGTTGATCAGGACTTCTATCTGCAGCCTTTAAGCGTGAAGCCATCTCTTTTAACTCTTTTAGAAGCTCCCTTTCGGCTACTACAGATTGGGCAATACAACTCAGAAGCTGCCGCATTAACTTTATTGGTCCTTGTTCTGACGATCGAAAGTGAAGCAAGACAAGTATTCTGCAAAGTGCTGACACGTATGATTTCTCAGCAGCTGTTTTATTTGAGGGGAAGCCCATAACCTTCAAAAAGACAAAAAAGAGAGTCGGCATTGAATGTCAATTAACTATAGCCCAATCCTCCATGCCATATGATTCCGAATGCAAGCTTTAGTTTGTCAAATCACTTAACCGAAAAAAACATCAGCTAAATAGAAATTAGGACTTCTATTGATGTTCATTCAAGTTAAAAATGAAAAGAGTAGCTGCATATCCAAATAAGTTTGAGATGGAAAATAATTACTTCTGCAGCTATGCGTATTGCAAGCCCTTCCTCTCCACTATCAAACTCGAGAAAGACATCTTTTGTGTCCTCGCTTCCATCTCCATCTTTAGGTACATTATCTTTCGTGTACAATGGAGCTTGCATCATCTGCACCATAAAGCGTGCTGCTTGGACAGCACGTTTGCGCATCATTGCCACCATTGCTGAACTTCTTTTAGCACTATCCATGATGCCTGGCCACAAGGAGCGCGTAACTGGGATGAAAGCCTTTGATAAGCATTTCTGCGCCCCAAAAAATGAGTATGTACCGCCTGCAGATCAGAGAATTGCAAAAACAAAACAAACCAACACTGCATTCATCTAATTTCTGAAATTACAACACATGCCTTATGGTTTGCAGACAGGGATGGATAATGATCAAAGAATACGGATAGGCACTGTTTCAATCTAGTCAAATGAAAGAATATCGATTGGTCAGCCATGGATATAAATAAAATAAGAATTATGCTAAGGGACAAAGGAATCCACCTCAGATGGTCTTTACTGTCACTAGAAAAAAAGAGGCCAATCAGCTTTCCTAATAATAAAGGGTGCGATGAAGCATCTGCATTTGGGTACTTCTCACTCAGAAGTAATATCTTTGCAAAACCTTCTGCCAGAACAGCTTGAACAAACTCAATCTCATCGCTTTCTACAAAATCACTAATGCAATTCCTCTCCATTACCCAATATAGCATATCAAGCATTCCAATATGCAAATTTTCACTAGCATCACACCAATTTATAGAACTGAAATCCACTTTTTGGTCTTTGAACTGTGATGTTACGTCTTGATTCATGGCTTTGTCAACTTCATGAGGACCATGCCACAGTCCCAGATCAAGCATGGCTTTGCTTGACATGATGGTAATTGATGAGGGACCTTTGATGAAACTAAATCTTAACTGCTTCACTAGATCTTCACATGGTTTTCTCTCCAGCAACCCAAAAAGACCAAGGCACCTGATTGCAGCCCTCTGAACGTCAAAATGAGCATGCTTTGCCTGTTGTGAGAAACAGAAAGTTCGAAATCGTGATTTGCCGAAGGAACATGAAAAAAGAACAATCAGCAATGCACAATCAAAAAGTTAACCAAAAGAGTAAAGGCAAATTTCCCCCCAGATACACACCCCAGGAAGCAATAACGAGTGAAGAATTTCAGCAGGTTCAATGGCCTTGCCCTGCAACAAATGATATGATCGTGCACTTTCCAAAAGGAGGCCAGTCACGGCAAGACAGTGGAGCCACTCTTTGTAGTCTGCAGTTCTCTCTCTGCAAGGCTGAACAAGCTCAGCCACAACCGTCAGAACAACTTCTTCAAATTCTCCTAATGCTGCATGAACTTGTCTAACAAATTTCGACACAGCAGAAGCCCAATCTTTGTCTCCTCCAAGATTAATGCCATCTCCTATAACTACGTCATTATCATTTTCATCCTTTTCATGATCAAGGGGTTTGTGCAGCAACTCCTGCACCAATTCACCGGCAACCTTTCTGTTTGTGGCATCAGAGAAATCAAACATCTCACCAAGCAATAGCAGTTGGCGAGAAGCAAATCGATAATTTGATCCTGTAATGATCAAGTGATTTTAACGTTTACAGCCAAAAAAAGAAGGGGGTGGGGGATGGGGTGCACGATAGCTAATAAAAAATCACAGACCGGCAGTAAGATGAGCTTTGACCAATTCCACATATTCTGAAACAGAAGCTGTAAGAACTCTGTCAAGAAGATCATTGCTGTCAGATGCTTCTGCTGCATATACAGCAGACTCGGCTCCCATCGTCATTGCTGCATCAGAGCCCTTTACCTGTTCCATCATGGGCAAATTCCTCATAAACCATCCAGGATAAAAGAATTCCCAAATTATCTCTTTAAATAAAGTTTACTGAATCTAGACAAGAGAGACTTTTAGATACAAAGGGTATTGGTGGCTAGTTCAGCTACTACAGTATAGAAAAATGCAAAAGAATATTGTTAAAATGCACGTAATAAAATTCCCAGTCTCCTGACATACTTCAAGAACAAAATACCCTCTGAATTTCTTCCACTATAATTTTCTGGCACCCCAACTATACACAATTTAGTGAAAATTTTTTTAAGGCCTAATGCAAAATTTTCCGTCTCAACCCTCCATATATCCAAATATCCTCAGCCATGCTAATGAAGTGAAGAGTGATAGTGGTACAATATATGACTACTAAACAAGCAAACATACAAGAAGGTATGATCAGTTATAAGACAACAGAAGTATGGAGTATGTCAATGTCAGAACTCACGTTAAAAACTCTTAAAGCTTACTCATCTAAGAACATCGTAAAATACATGCACAAAAGGTAACTAGGATAGCAAAAAGAAGGCATCATAAAGTGGAAAATGGTTAAAAGAGTTTATTTGTCCAACCCTATCTTAAAAGACAAAATTTACTGAAAGGTTTTTGATTTAAGCATATATTGCCAACCTAGTAAACACGTGCATATTTCCTAACCTAGAAAAATAAATTTACATATAATTTTAGTACATTTAAAAGCTTACTAGATCAGAATCAACAAGCAGAAGACAAATCACTTACTTGTGCTTCCATCTGTAAATGCTTACACACAATTCTCCAGTAAAGAGCAACTTCAGGTTCCATTAGTTGGATGTCATGCTTTAAAGGCCCTGATTTCAACAAAAAGAACATTCAACTCTCAGACTATACATCTCATTACTATAGCTACTCGGTGTGAATTAGAGCTGTTAAACGAACCGAGCTGTTCGGTAGCTCGGTTCGTTTCGGCTCGTTCGTGTTCGTGAAAGGCTCGTTCGAAATTTTAAACGAACCGAGTTCGAACGAATTTTTTTGTTCGATTAATAATCGAGCGAACACGAGCATGTTCGCGAGTTTTAACGAACGTTCGCGAACATGCTAAACGAACGTTCGCGAACACGAACATGTTCGCGAGTTTTAACGAACGTTCGCGAACATAGACATAATTATCATTTAACAAATTTAGGGTTAATTTTATGGCTGGACTTTTATATTTGGAGGGCAAATTTCTTTGTTTTATTTGTTGTTTTTATGTTAATGTTAGTTATATAGTTAATGAATAATAGAATTTAGTCACTTAGTACTTTAATTATTTTTTAGAATGATTAATAATTTGCATGGCATATTTAAGGCATAAAATAATTTGGATTCGAGCATTTCGAACATGATCGCGAACGGCTCGTTTATGTTAAACGGGCCGAACTCGAACTCGAACTCGAACACGAATTTTACTTAACGAACCGAACACGAACACAGGTTTGGAGTTCGAAAATTAACGAACGAACACGAACGTTGTTCGAACTGCTTAACGAACAGAGCTCAAACATGAGATACTCGGTTCGATTCGGTTCGTTTACAGCTCTAGGTGTGATACAGTATCTAAGTGCTTTAGGAACTACAGTTCAACAACATAGAGTTAAATATGCAATTGGCTTCACTTAAACTATCATTCATCTGTCTATATAACGATAATCTCAGAACCAATTTTGATTGGTCTCGTGAAACTGATAAGACCACCAGATGTTGTCAGGAACACAACATGCTGACGACATCCAGATACTACAGAGATAAAAAAAATGATACAGTTCATCACCTCATTGTATTATGAACTAGGAAGACTGTTGTTACACATAATTGATCTTACATGGTGAAGATATTATGAAAATCTAGAAGGTTATTACAGAGGAGAAAAAAAATTGAAGAAAGAGAAATTTGAGCCAGTTGATCAACAATGGTGCAGAATTGCTACTGAAGGTGTTCTAGGAAGAATGCTCCATAGATACAAGGTCGAAAGGAACACTTAACAATGAAAACTGAAAAGCTTGTATTTCGTTAAACCCAAATGCAACAGTGCAACATGTTTTATACCAACCTCCAGTTGTCTCACCATCTGAAGTCGAGAACTCATGAAGGCTCTTAACATCTTCCAAGTTCACCAACCCTTCTTTTAATATAGCACAGATAACAGACTCCCCAACCTCTTCATAGGTTTCAACATCAAGATATTTAAGAAGTTCTACAGGGTCTCCATTGCAAAATTTTGGAAGCCAGTCATCTTTTATCAGATTCAAACACTCCTTCACCACAGCTGCTGATCGATCAGCAAGTCCCCTCTGGAGGATCGTGGTCCTGAGCTTGATACTGCACAAAATGCGCATGAAGTATAGCCATATTCAGCAGGCAAATGTCAAAACAAGTATAGTAAATGTCAAAGCTGCATATAAACCATACCTACATTAACTTAGGGAATCTAAACTTCATCAAAAATTAAGATCACGTAGAAGGACATACTAGAATGAAAAGGTACTCTTGCCAGCTATAGTAGCTGTTGGTATAAAAAGCTTCTCTTTGAGGTTCTCATAATTGTAAACTTTGTTAACTTCGAACATTTCCAAATTGGAGCTCTAAAGAACTGAATTAGAGGA